AACCATAGCTCATATTCAACCAGAAGAGAAAGTACATACAAACATTTGATATCGCCCCATTTGCACAAAAGCCCCGGTTTTTATATACAGTGGGGATCGAAAGTTTGGGCACCCCAGCTAAAAATTTGTAATAATGTGCATAAAGAAGCCAAGGAAAGATGGAAAAATCTCCAAAAGGCATCAAATTACAGATTAGACATTCTTATAATATGTCAACAAAAGTTAGATTTTATTTCCATCATTTACACTTTCAAAATAACAGAAAACAAAAAAATGGCGTCTGCAAAAGTTTGGGCACCCTGCAGAATTTATAGCATGCACTGTCCCCTTTGCAAAGCTGAGACCTGCCAGTGTCATGGATTGTTCTCAATCATCGTCTGGGAAGACCAGGTGATGTCAATCTCAAAGGCTTTAAATGCCCAGACTCATCTGACCTTGCCCCAACAATCAGCACCATGGGTTCTTCTAAGCAGTTGTCTAGAAAACTGAAACTGAAAATAGTTGACGCTCACAAAGCTGGAGAAGGCTATAAGAAGATAGCAAAGCATTTTCAGATGTCAATATCCTCTGTTCGGAATGTAATTAAGAAATGGCAGTCATCAGGAACAGTGGAAGTTAAAGCAAGATCTGGAAGACCAAGAAAAATATCAGACAGAACAGCTCGCAGGATTGTGAGAAAAACAATTCAAAACCCACGATTGACTGCACAATCCCTCCAGAAAGATCTGGCAGACACTGGAGTTGTGGTCACTATTCCACTATAAAGAGATACTTGTACAAATATGGTCTTCATGGAAGAGTCATCAGAAGAAAACCTCTTCTACGTCCTCACCACAAAAATCATCGTTTGGACTTTGCACATGAACATATAGACAAGCCTGATGCATTTTGGAAACAAGTTCTGTGGACCGATGAGGTTAAAATTGAACTTTTTGGCCGGAATGAGCAAAGGTACGTTTGGAGAAGAAGGGGCACAGAATTTAATGAAAAGAACCTCTGTCCAACTGTTAAGCATGGGGTTGGATCAATCATGCTTTGGGTTGTGTTGCAGCCAGTGGCACAGGGAACATCTCACGAGTAGAAGGAAAAATGGATTCAATAAAATTTCAGCAAATTTTGGATGGTAACTTGATGCCATCTGTGAAAAAGCTGAAGTTAAAGAGAGGATGGCTTCTACAAATGGATAATGATCCTAAACACACCTCGAAATCCACGGGGGATTACATCAAGAGGCGTAAACTGAAGGTTTTGCCATGGCCTTCACAATCTCCTGACCTCAACATAATTGAAAATCTATGGATAGACCTTAAAAGAGCAGTGCTGACAGACAGCCCAGAAATCTCAAAGAACTGGAAGACTTTTGTAAGGAAGAATGGGCAAAGATACCTCAAACAAGAATTGAAAGACTCTTGGCTGGCTACAAAAAGCGTTTACAAGCCGTGATACTTGTCAAAGGGGGCAGTACAAGATATTAACTCTGCAGGGTGCCCAAACTTTTGCAGACGCCATTTTTTTGTTTTCTGTTATTTTGAAAGTGTAAATGATGGAGATAAAATCTAACTTTTGTTGACATACAGTCCCATGGCCGAAATTGTTGGCACCCTTGATATTTTTCCTGAAAATCAAGTATTTTCACACAAAAAAGGTATTGCATTAACACATTCTTTTGTTATACACATGTTTATTCCCTTTGTATTATTGGAACAAATATAAAAACAGAGGCAGAAAAGCAAATATGACATAATGTCACACAAAAACCCCAAAAATGGGCTGGACAAAAGTATTGGCAAACCCTTAACCTTAATATTTGGTTGCACACCCTTTGAAAACATAACTATGAAATCAGTCGCTTCCTATAACCATCAATAAGCTTCTGACACCTCTCACCCGAATTTTTGGACCACTCTTCCTTTGCAAACAGCTCCAGGTCTCTCTTATTGGAAGACGACATAACCTTTTCCCAACAGCAATTTTAAGATCTCTCCACAGGTGTTCAATGGGATTTAGATCTGGGCTCATTGCTGGCCACTTCAGAACTCTCCAGCGCTTCTTTGCCATCCATTCTGAGTGCTTTTTGACGTATGTTTGGGGTCATTGTCCTGCTGGAAGACCCAGGATCTTGGACGCAAACCCAGCTTTCTGACACTGGGCCCTACAGTGCGACCCAAAATCCTTTGGTAATCCTCAGATTTCATGATGCCTTGCACACAGTCAAGGCACCCAGTGCCAAGGCAGCAAAACAAAACCCCAAAACATCATTGAACCTCCACCATATTTTACCGTAGGTACTGTGTTTTGTTCTTTGTAGGCCTCATTCCGTTTTCGGTAAACAGTAGAATGATGTGCTTTACCGAAAAGCTCTATCTTGGTCTCATCTGTCCACAAGATCATAGACGTTTTCCCAGAAGGCTTTTTGGCTTACTCAAGTACATTTTGGCAAACTGTAGTCTTGCTTTTTTATGTCTCTGTGTCAGCAGTGGGGTCCTCCTGGGTCTCCTGCCATAGCGATTCATTTCATTTAAATGTCGACGGATAGTTCGCCGCTGACACTGATGCTCCCTGAGCCTGCAGGACAGCTTGAATGTCTTTGGAACATGTTTGGGGCTGCTTATCCACCATCCGACTATTCTGCGTTGCAATCTTTCATCAATTTTCCTCATCCGTCCACGACCAGGGAGATTAGCTACAGTGCCATGGGTTTGCAAACTTCTTGACTAATGTTGCGCACTGTGGACAAAGGCAAATCTAGTTCTCTGGAGATGGACTTGTAACCTGAGATTGTTGATATTTTGCCACAATTTTGGTTCTCAGGTCCTCAGACAGTTCTCGCCTCCTCTTTCTGTTGTCCATGCTTAGTGTGGCACAGACAGACACACAATGCAAAGGTTAAGTGAACGTCTCTCCTTTTTATCTGCTTTCAGGTGTGATTTCTATATTGCCCATCACACCTGTTACTTGCCCCAGGTGAGTACAGGAGCATCACATGCTGTAACATTCTTTAATTTATCCGCAGTTGTGAAAGGGTCCAATACTTTGTCCAGCCCATTTTTGGAGGTTTGTGTGACATTATGTCGAATTTGCTTTCTTTCTCCCTTTTTTTGTTTTGTCCCAATACACACAAAGGGAATAAACATGTGTATAGCAAAACATGTGTTAATGCAATACGTTTCCGTGAGAAATACATGATTTCCTGGAGAAATATCAAGGTGCCAACAATTTCGGCCATGACTGTATTATAAGAATGTCTAATCTGTAATTTGATGCCTTTTGGAGATTCTTCCATCTTTCCTTGGCTTCTTTATGTGGTCACATTAATACAATTTTTTTAGCTGGGGTGCCCAAACTTTCCATCCCCACTGTATATACGTTTGAAAATTCCACAAAGAATAAAAAGCAAAAATATGAATTCCCATAGAAGAATTTGTTCATTTTTTGCTGAATCAATAACTATGAAAATGTTTTCTAAATAATCTTTCTGAGTGTGTCCCCCCACGCCCCCCCTTGGCAGAGCAGGATTTGTTCCTCTCGGATTATACTTCGGTTTTATAATACGGTCACATTGATAACAAAACATTTCCTGGCAGAAGTTTTATTTTTATACTCATAGATATACTGAACTGTGAACATCACGTCATATATATATATACTGTATACCTGTAATGACACGTCAGAGGTATTATACAATGTATAGAGATCCTTGTGCTATATATTATGTATCAATCGAGGAAGAATATTATTTATTGACAGATCAATCAAATCTTTGTAGATTTTCTCCATTCACTTTTCTTGATCTTCAATAGCTGAAGGAAAAAAACAAATAATATTAATTACAATATATAAAATAATAGTGTGTGACTGTGGGGAGGGGACATTAGGGTGTAAGCTCCTCTGGTACAGAGACTGATGTGACTGTGGGGGGAGGGACATTAGAGTGTAAGCTCCTCTGCTACAGAGACTGATGTGACTGTGGGGAGGGGACATAGAGTGTAAGCTCCTCTGGTACAGAGACTGATGGGACTGAGGTGGAGGGGACATTAGGGTGTAAGCTCCTCTGATACAGAGACTGATGTGACTGTGGGGGAGGGGACATTATGAGTGGTAAGCTCCTCTGGTACAGAGACTGATGGGACTGTGTGGGGGAGGGGACATTAGGGTGTAAGCTCCTCTGATACCAGATGACCTGATGTGACTGCGGAGGAGGGGATATTAGAGTGTAAGCTCCTCTGGCACAGAGACTGATGTGACTGTGGGGGAGGGGACATTAGAGTGTAAGCTCCTCTGGTACAGAGACTGATGTGACTGTGGGGGGAGGGGACATTAGAGAGTAAGCTCCTCTGGTACAGAGACTGATGTGGACTGGCTCAGTGTTCTCTGTACAGCGCTGTGGTATATGATCAGAGCAATAAAATGTATAATAATAAAACGTGTGTGACTTGTGGGAAGAGGGACATTAGAGTGTAAGCTCCTCTGGTACAGATACTGATGTGACTGTGGGGAGGAGACATTAGAGTGTATGCACCACTGGTAACAGATACTGATGTGACTGTGGGGGAGGAGACATTAGAGTGTAAGCTCCCTGCTACAGAGACTGATGTGACTGTGGGGGAGGGGACATTAGAGTGTAAGCTCCTCTGGTACAGAGACTGATGTGACTGTGGGGGAGGGAGACATTAGAGTGTAAGCTCCTCTGGTACAGAGACTGATGTGACTGTAGGAGAGGGGACATTAGAGTGTAAGCTCCTCTGGTACAGAGACTAATGTGACTGTGGGGGAGGGGACATTAGAGTGTAAGCTCCTCTGGTACAGAGACTGATGTGACCTGTGGGGGGAGGGGACATAGAGTGTAAGCTCCTCTGGTACAGAGACTGATGGGACTGGCTCAGTGTTCTCTGTACAATCGCTGTGGTATATGTCAGAGCTATGTAAAGGTATAATAATAAATGTGGTGTGACATTCAAGTTCAGTAATTCATAGTCCCTCACCCTTTGGTCCCACATGTCTTACATGAAAAATCTGCACATTTTTTTTTTTGTAAGTTTTTTTCCTTTCGTTCCTTATCCCATTCCAGCTTTCAATTTTTTCTTTTTCTCTCTCTGTCTCATTCTTATGTGCGATCTCGAGCAGCATCTGCACCCTCTTCAGGTGCTCCTCCTCCGGGGTGCCATAGGAAGATGCCGTGTTGTCCCGGAAGTTCACCTGATCCAGTACCTTGTTCAGGGGGACAGGAAGATCTTGTCCTTCTTCGGGGTTTTGATGTGGTCCTCAGAAGTGTAATTCTCCACTGGGAATATTTGCTCCATCCCGAGGCCCCTAAAATGCTGCTCCAAAGTTGTGACATCTCCATGATATCTTTTGGTGAGGATGATGATTGGTAGAAATCCTGGAGAGGAGAAACACAACATTTGCATCCTTAAAGAAAGAAGAATGACCCCGAGGCCAATCAGGCAGCAGTCATCTGGTGACCAGACCAAGTGATTGCCTTGTCTTTCAGGGGTCGTTCCCACCAGTCCTATTGGAGTGCATCGGGTAATGTCACCCCAAACAGCCCCAACACATAGACAAGGAAATGTGCATTGCTTTAGTTCATATCAACATTCTGAAAAAAAAAAGGGGCATGTTTGCAGCTTTTTACCCAAAATTCTATGTATACTGCAAGGCAATGAGTTGTTGTACATACAGTGGAATAGGGTGCTCTCTGGTGTACATAGTGCACATGCATAATACACGCCATGGAGCACATGTTATGTTACGTGCACCTTGTCCTGTGCCACTGTGCAAATGAGTCTTAAACCATCAGAGTGGTTTAAAACAAACCCCTCCCCCTCCTGAGGATTTCCCCCCCCACTCCTGACCAGGACATTTTTTGAGAACAGCACTGTTACTTTAACTGACAATTGCGCGGTCATGCAACGCTGCACCCAAAATAAAATGTATGTCCTTTTTCCCACAAATAGAGCTTTTTTTCAGCTTTTTTTTTCGCCTGTGCATTTTTTTTAATTTTTACACTATATACAAAAAAAAGACCAACAATTGTGTGAAGAAAAAAAACAATATTTTTGACTTTTTGCTAAACATATCCAGTAAAAAAATAAAAAAAATCTAATGTTTTCATAAATTTCTGCCACAATGTATTCTGCTCCTTGTCTTGGCTAAAAAAAACCCAATACGTGTAAATTAATTGATTTACGTGGAAGTTATAGTGTTTTACAAAATGGCGGTATAGATACTGGATTTTTTTTTTTATTTATTTTTACTAGTAATGGCGGCAATCAGTGACTTATAGCGGGACTACGAGACTGTGGGAGGCATTCTGACACTGGGGGAACTGACTTGGTGTCACTGATAAAAAGCACTGACACTGTACTAATGGCACTGGGCAGGAAGGGGTTAACATCTGGAGTGATCAAAGGGTTAACTGTGTGCTGTTTTACTGTATGCTGTGTGTGTGCTTTCCTCTGTAAGCACACTGCTATGCAGAGCCATACAAAGCAGTGTGCAGGAGCTGACAGGAGAGAAATCTGTATTTTATACAGGTCTCTCCCCCCGTCGGAGATACTCGGCAATCACTGGGTGCCGGCGAGTAATCACTGGCCAGGACCCAGTGATTGACAGCCAGGGCCACAAATGCCAGAAATGCAAAATCACGCTTATATATGTGATTTTGTGCACCTCTGCTGCCCTGTAGCAGTATTTCTGCTATAGGGCAGAGGGGAAAGCGGCCAATGTTTAGTACTTTGTCTGGCAGCAATAGTGTCCACAGTTCAAATCCCGGCCAGGACAATATGAGTATGGAGTTTGCTTGCTCTCCTATGCTTGGGTGAGTCTCCTCTGAGTATTCCTTCCCTCTATAAGCTAACAACCCCGCCTTCTCTTTAGTTTTCTGAATAGGAGCGTCTAGCTCTCCTGCTCCATCGTGGCTGCCGGTCTCATTCCAACATCCTGGTTTTGATTCTCCGTGTCTGCTTGTCCACCTGGAAGGTGATTGATATGGTCAGTCTCTGGGTGGAAACCAAACCTGATTTAAGCCAGCCAAGCCTACAGTCTCATGCTTGTGATAGCGCTGGCTACACGTGCTTCAAGCTCACTGTCTGTCTGCCCTGCTCTGATCTCTGGATTCCCTTATTGATGATCTTGGATCAGATATCAACTGTTCTCTGAACTCTACCTACCTTTTGACTAAGGATCTGACCCTGACTATTTTGAACCTTGCCTGCCTTGTACCTGGACTGTTATTGAACCACTCTGCCTGTCTGCCAACTGCAAGTACCTGTTTGCTGTACTGTGTGCTGGTTCCAGGCACTATAGCATTGTGTGTAAGACCTGGGAGAAACCATACCGGTAGGCCTGCTTGCCTTATGGGAAAGAGGGCTGCTATAGGTGAAGAACACAGAAGCCAGCTATAGTGTCTGATTCACCTGCATTAGGGGTAAGCGTGGCATCTCCTTTAGATTACTAATAAACCACTACAACCACTAAAAGCCTGATGTCGGCTATCCAGCTGAGTGTAAAGACAAATCTTTCTTTTAAAGCTGAACTCTGGGATAGGAAAATATTGTCTAAGGCCGTTCACACTATGCAGGTGCAATATAGTGAGCCACCTTTCTGCTTGTCGCGTGTAGTGCAACCCCCTTCATTTTGATGGGCTGCCCTAAGCACGAGAAATGCAGAAAAGAAGTCCCTGACCATTTTTCACAATTGTTTGCACTGAATAGCATGTTGATTTGGCGCCATGTGTTTTGGTGCGCACAAAACTGCACACATCAGCAGAAGCCTGGGGGTACCATTAATAAGTGGTTCTAAAGCTGGAAGGTTTTTTTAATTTGATGTTTTGTATGCATGAAGGTAAAAAAAGCTTTAGAATACAGCTCCCCCCTCAGCCCTCCCGAATACTTACCTGAGCCCAATCTGTTTCCAGCAATGTGCACGAGTGTAGAGGCTCTCCTGGCTCTTTCCCTCCTCATTGGCTCAGAGACATATGGCTTCCACTGCACTCAATCACAGCCATTGAGGAGGGAGCAGAGGGTAGGGCTGAGCCACACTCTGTATATCTTATGGACACACAGATCGGGGCTCGGGAGTAAGCACACACAAGTGCCCCTATAGCAAGTGGCTTGGTATGCAAGCACTCAGCATGGGGGAGGAGCCAGGAGTGCTGGTGGGTGAAGGATCGGGCTGCTCTGTGCAAAACCTCTGCACAGAGCAGATAAGTATAACATGTTTATTATTTTTAAAATATGCCTTTTAATAACTTTAATGGTACCTCTGAGCATCTGCTAAAGGGCAGCGTGTTTCTGTGCGTGTTGGGAAAGCATGTCATTTTTTGTGTGTTCCCATCATGCACTAATGTGAAAATAGGTTTGTCGCAAACGTGCGCAACACACAGTGAAGGACGCAGACTCCATTTTGTTTAGAGTATCCATTTCTCCCTTATTCTTCCCTCCCCCTCCCTCTCTCTGAGAGGAGACATTTGGCCAGCGTGCGTGTATGTGTATGTGTGTGTGTGTGTGTGTGCTGGTTGTGGGTCACTGGCAGGCCAAGGCAGCAGGGAACCCCAGAGCTATAAACACATCTCTGAGCTAGGTGCCTAGCTGTCTGGAAAAGCTGTGCCATTTCACACCTCGGAAGAGATAAGGCAAGCTTTCCCAAGAGTTGAAAGAGATTCCGATCTCATAAACCTAGCTCACCATAGGTGATAGAATCAGATAACCTCTGTTAAAACCATGTTTTCCCCTATGTCTCATACCTTGGAATATGAAAAACTTACATAAAAAACAGACATATCATCAGATGGCCAATGAGCGGGTGAACAGTTTGATGGGTCACTCGCCTTGTCTCGAACACACAGGAAAGCAGAAAAATAGACCTCGCGAACCATATAGTGTACACTTTCATAATTCATATCTAATCAATCCTCGGACTTGGCTGCATAATAATCTACCCACGGGTGGACTGTCCTTTGTGCAGATGGACAGTTATGGGCCAAAATATGAGTTATGGACGATTTTTGCTCTAGTTGAGGCATCCGCCCATAACTACACGCCTAAACGGGTTATTGGGCCTTGACTTAAGAGACACCCCCTGCTGGGGACTACAAAATAGGCTCACAGACCTAAGAGAGGAAGAAGTTGAAGACATCTCCCATTTTTAACATCAATACCACCTGGGAAGACCCCTGCCTTTTGCTCTGAAACCTGATCTGCTTACATCCAAGGCTTAATGGCAAGTACCTTAACCCTTTAACCTCTCTCTGTTATCTCTTTGCGTGCTGTTATGCTCTGTATATGTATATATATATATCTTAGTTACATCCTTTTTCTGTAAATATTTTTATTGCACCTGTTCGACCTTTTAGTAATAAATCTTTCTTTCTGAAAGTGTTGAATTGTTTCTATAGCTCTGTATTGCAATTTACGAATCCCTGCCTCTAAAGAGAACGCTACTGTGTTTGTTTAAACCTCTGTATAACCGGCCTGCGGACCGTTTTATACAAACGATCATCTCAATCAGTATTGTGTTATAGCTGATAACGCCGAGTTTCCTCTTTCTCTGTACAAAAAGGAGGTGGTGGCAGTGTGAAGGGTTAATTGCGTAATTAACCTGACCCAGTAACAATCGCCCAGGCTGCCGGTACATCGATTGTGGTCCATTAGCTGGAAAATCGTTGTGCAGGGTGCAGCTGGGTGTGGCATTGTTTACACACGTCACATTGCAGTTTTAGATTTGGCTAGTCCTTCAGTCATGAGTTTGGGTGAGAAGGTCTGGGGTCTGATGCCGCGATCGTACAAGGTTAAATACAAGAGTCATCATGTGTATTCATCATTGAACCTCTCGACTAGCTACAAAGTTACAATGTTGCAGTCTGATCACTGGGGGGAGGGGGGACTGAGGAAATGCTTACTCTTGCCTGCAGCAGACTGGGGACATCATTTTGGTCAAAGTTTCCTGACTGGAGTTGATAAGATAGAATAAGTAGAATGGTGTTACCTGTAAGCTTTTGAGCATTTTTAAGAAATTCTTTAATTTCTTCTGTCGATTCATCAATTGCACATTGCGCACTGAAAGTATAAAGCAGAAAGAGAGTTCCAATAAAAAAAAGAGCTGCTTTATTATTGGGGATTTATATAGCACCAACAGTTTGCGCAGCACTTTTACAGTTACAATACGAGAGAGGAAACAGAGGGCCCGGCTCACTAGAGATACAATCTAAGAGATCTGTAGCATATTCACTGATAGGGCGGGTATATTTGTATCATTACCAATCTCTTTATGAACAAATGTATGAGGATTATTCTTCTCAAAAGCCTTGTGTCCTTAGGCCTCATGCACACAGGGCTTAAAAACACTGGTCTTAGGGTCCATTCACAGAAAAAAATGCCAGAACTAATGATGGGTTTGGTGTTCGAGTCGAAGGTAAGTTCATTTGAAACATCATGAATATAAATAATTGGTGTAGCGCTCTCTAAATAAACCTAGAACCTATACCATAGAATATTAATAATAAAGTGTGACCCTGACGAAGTCACGTGATTAGTGACGCAATGCGTAGGTGACGTCACTTCCGGCGCGGGCGCCATCTTTGGACTCTCAGAAGAACCCATGCAGTTACACCCATACATGAGGCTCTAAAGGCAATGTACAAGACGATTTACAATGAGTTTTCCAGTTTTAATATATTCATTTTCTGCTTAACCTCTTGGCGGTATGATTCTTTCCGATTTTTTGTGCTGAAAGCGGTACCATTTTTTTGCATGGAAATATGTAGTTTTTTTTATTGTAGGCTGTAATTTTTAGGAATAACTCACTGAAATCTGTCCGAACAAGAGTCTAGTAAACATTCTGGATATGATAAAACTTGAAACAGAAAATCATAAATTATAATTTAATAAAATAATCAAAAAAAAAATAATAATATAATAATAATAAATTTAATTCAATAATATAATCAAACCAAAAACACTGAAATTTTAAATACAGAGGCAAATTCGCACATCGCTGAGCAAAGTCGCAAAATCGTTTTCAGTGTCTGATGAGGAATTTCCCCCACCAATCATTATCACTCAATTCTGCAAGTGGTTCTGATTTACTATCGCTGTTCTCTAGCCGCTCTAAAACCGCTTTTGACGTAAAGGGACGCTTTTTGGACGCCATGGACTTTTCTAAGCTTCCAGGCAGAAAGAACAGTAAAAATGCAGGCAGGGCGCCGGACAAAGCACTCGGGACAAAATGTATGTGAAATTCATTGAAACAGCAATGACAGCAAAAATGACATTTTTTAAAAATTTCAAATTTCCCGCCGGTTCCGGCGCCCGTACGTCCCGACGTCACAGGGACCAGAACACGGAAGCCGGATGCCGGCATCGGCCGGAGGAGATGGCCGGGGACGCTGCAGGGGACACATCGCGGGAGTGAAGGAAAAGGTAAGTGCTGCAGGGACCCCGAGAGTAACGCCGCATGGTAAGCCCGAGTGTAGCTCGGGGTTACCGCTCTTGGTATTGAAATTTTACCCCGAGCTATACTCGGGAAAACCTCTAGGGAGGTTAATAAACGGTATCACGCTATGGAGGTTTTTCTCTTTGTGGATCATTTGGGAGCTGGTTATACTGAGTAAGAGCCATTTGAGAAAAGGGGATATCGAGCTGGTCCTTGGTTTGGAATACCTATGCTGCCTTTGCTGGAGGATTCTTTTTGACCCAGAAGGATCCAGGAGTGATCCATAAGGCTTAGAGGTGAGGAGCCAATCTAGCTGTGTGTGGAGTCAGCACCTGAGCCTACTACGCACAAGATTCACTTGCATGGGTTTGTTTATGTATTGCTGTGGACACAGGTTTCACATATCAGTTTATGCCTAATATCTGTGAGCGAGTTATTTGTCATATTCACCATTGTTTTGGATTTTTATCCCTCTTCAGTGTTATATACTGTGTTGAATTGTGTGTGTTGACACAGAGCACTTATCACTCTTTATGTATCCCCCAGGGTCTGGGTCATAGTTTTTTTTTTTCACCATATATAAAGTCTTTGTTTATATTGCACTTTATTGTGACCCTATTTTTACAGGTCCTTATTGTGTTTTCTCACTTTATTGTTAATATTCTATGTTATAGGTTCTAGGTTTGTTTAGAGAGCGCTACACCAATTGTTTATATTCATGGTTTTTCACTTTAGGTAATGAGGTGCAGGTGTAGCAGCTGATTTCAGTTTATTAGATTTGAGCGCAGGAGGTTTTTCCCTTTTATTCAATTGAAACATCGGCCACAGGACTGCTGATAGAGATCACGGAGCCCCGTACACGCTACCTGACAGGGCCCCTCCAAGAAAACATCAGTGATATTTTGATAAAAATACATGAAAATCATTCTTAGCGGACACATTATACCTCACACAATTCCTGCTAAATCTAAAAGATACATCAGTATTGAGGTAATAAACAAAGCTCTCTGTGGAGGAGGTCTGGGGCTCATTCACATGGGCGCTGTGTCCTGTACAGTGTGAATCAGTGGCTCGTTTATGTGGCTGGAGCCACCGGGAACTGTATGAATACAGCCGCAGGTATTAATTTGACAGGCGTGTGGATGCAGGTGTATGGACCCGAACACAGTGTGCATCTGGGGCCACTCACCCACATCTGCACACTTGTCAAATTAGGACCTGTGGCTGTGTTCATACAGCCGCTGCATCTCCTCTGAATGGCAGGCAGCTCCAGTCTGAAGTCCTCCTTCACACAGAGTACCTATGGGATGGAGTGCTTCATTATATTTTTTTTAACAATTTTTTGAACAGCCCTGTCAGGTAGGAGGGATGGGCTCTGGTGAAATATCATTATGACAGACTTACCTAAAAAACTGTCAAGGTCCTACGGCTTGTGTTGCTCCCATGTACTGGCATCCATCTTAGGTGTCTGCAAAGCATTGTGGGATCCTTTATGCTTTCAGCCCTCTGCGGCTCCTCCCCCAGGAGGTGGCGGCTTATCACATATAAGTCTGCTGTTTGTAGCTGTCCATTGCATTCGTGTCCTGTCTCTTGCACAGCAACAAGCTCCTGTTTAGCTACTAATTGCTTTCCTGGATACCGACACGGCTTTGGCTAAGACTCCTCCTGGCTCCTGATCCCGGCTCTGGCGACCATTCTTCCTGGCTCCTGATCCCGGCTCTGGCGGCGATTCTTCCTGGCTCCTGATCCCGGCTCTGGCGGCGATTTTTCCTGGCTCCTGATCCCGGCTCTGGCGACGATTCTTCCTGGCTCCTGATCCCAGCTCTGGCGACGATTCTTCCTGGCTCCTGATGGCTCTGGCAATGATTCTTCCCGGCTCTTGATCCCGGCTTTGGCTACAATTTCCGCTGTTGGACTTGCATAGACTCTTGTCTTATTTTTATATTAATAAACCTACCTTTAATTGCACCTCCTTGTGTGTCTGGCTCTTCACTCCCTGACAAAAACATATTTCTCCAGTGGTGCGTTGTCACCACTGACCGGGACTCCATCTTCATCTTCCTCCTGGATTCTTGGGCTCTGGCCAATAGAATGGCTAAGCCGTGATGATGTCACTCCCATGCATGCGTGTGGGAGTCTTGGTGGCAGCACAGCTCTCTCAATGGACGGCATGCGCAGTGCACATGCATTGGTGGCATCACCAGCTGCCACACATGTAAATATATCTTAAACTTTCACGTTTAGGAAATATTATTAACTGAGCCTACAAGTCAGCCTTACTATAGACTTATCTGTATGTAGAAGAAAAAAGCCGTTTACTACAACTTCAACTAGATCAGTTAGTGGATGGTAAGGGGGAGAGGAGTGGGAAGCCCAGCAGCACAAAGCACACTAAGCTGCACTGGGACAAGATAAAAGGCATCAAAGCGTATATTCATTCAGTGACTGGCCTTCCTCTTCATGGTTCTCACTGGTGCCCACTCTGGATGGAGCTGCACAGATCTGTGCAGTAATCCACTGTGAAACTTTGCCTCTGTGCAGGAGTGCCCTGAAATAAAGACCAGCAAAAAAGCACATACCAGGGGCGGTCTGACCATTTGGAAACTCGGGCACTGCCCGAGGGCCCGGGGTCAATAGGGGGCCCCATGATCCCCTATTGCCCAGGGGCCCCATAAGTTGTCAGTCCGCCCCTGGCACATACCCGTACCCTATTTGGAGAGGAGCTACTACCTGAGTGCTGACCCCCTGAGAGGGAGATCTGTGTTCGGGGAGAGCAGACAAGTGGAGAGGCTGCATGCTAGAAGGATCTGAGGGTGTGATCCCACAATACGCTTTGACCTATACGGGTCGAAGTTTTGAGGTGAGAGGCTAATCTAGCCGTCGGTTGGATTTTCTTTACCAGCAGTTACCCCCAGTCACTTACTTCAGCACGAGTGTCGTATTTTTGAATAAGTGGTATTATCCACTCATTGGACTTTGGAGCACAAGATCAGACGTTTTTTAGTTTGATCTAATTAGTGTGTTGTTTGCACATTATTTGCACATTTTTTGTCACATATTATTTTCTGTTTGATGTATATATATTTATTGCACTTATTGAGATTTTCATATATTGCACTTATTGATGGTACATATCCTCTGTTATATATTGTGGCACTAGTAGTTTTTGGTGAGTTTGTTTACAATACATTTATATGTACTAGTGTGATGGATATGGTAAAATGCCTATTTGGTTTCCTATTGAATATATATATATATACATTTTTCTACACATTTTTATACATAGTATTTATTTTTTATACTTTAATACTATTTCTTTCTTCATATTTATAAATGTTTAGCATGAATACATATGTTGTGTGAATATTTTCTGCCTGCTGGGCTTTGTGGTACTTTAAGAAATCCTTGTTTTAGAAATGTTTGCTCACAGGCACCGACCCCCTCCCACCGTGTGATTTCGAAGACAAAGGAATGTTTTTCTTTCTATAAGATAAGACTTGGAAGAAGATCACACCTATACCATGACGGAGATTGTTTTTGTGTGGAAATGACCAATCAAAGACTAATATAATGCTTATACTGTTGTCACATGACTCTTGCATCATTCTGCATATATAAGCTCACTTTCTCATTATAATAAACTAGAAGTATTCATAGACTGAACTTGTGTGTCAGCGTGAGTCCCTTCCAGTGTGCGCACATTCCAAAGCTAGAATGATAAATTAGGACAGGAACAGATAAGCACTGGACAATTTAGTCCTCAACTAAATCACTAGTCCTATGCATGTTTTATACATCCTATATTGAGCCTGCAGTGGTATTGACGTATCACTGGTTTCACTGGACTATTATTCACTTTCACGTTTTAGTCCAGCTGTAGAAGACTAATATTTGAGGTAGTGTATCTACGTGTCACATCGCATGGTGGTATATTGTTTCATAGGTATTTCACTTTTTGATTGTGACACATTTTGTGAATATTTTTTTTTTTTTTTTGTATCACCATTGTGCTTTATTTTACACGGTTTGTCATTAGTTATTTATTCACATAAGGGTACATTTATTGATTTAGTATTTTTTCATTTGTTATATATGTGAGTAGCGCTACATTTATTTATTGATTTTAAACCACAGATCACAGGTATATGATTTAATGTTAGCAGCTTCTCTTAATAGGACACTTATCTAGGAGCGCAGGAGGTTCACACCGGGGAGAGAGAATTATCTTAGAAGAAATGGAAGAATGGTTCACATGTTTACAGATTCATGTATAAATTGAAGAACTTGATCAAATTTGTTATGTGGTGAGAATATATGGAGAACTGAAGAGAATCTTTCAACATAAACAATCTCATATGACTGTGAAAGAGAACTAATAATTTTATGTTGGCCTTGCACGCTGGACTCTAATATATACATGTTGCACCTTCCCAAGAGGGAAGGATTAATCTAGCAGCTGGATTTTTACATTTTATTTAGGATCTATTTTTGTGATCTATTGCATTTATTGTGGTGGCAGTAGCTACAGATAATTCTCAGGCGTGGATTTCATCATACATTACATGCATAGATTGAGGCTTTCAGTGAAAGATCATAACCCACATCCAGCCTCATGGTGCCTTTATTTGGTAAGAATGTTGCTCTGAGTGTAAGTTCTGTTGCTGTCTCCTGGCTGTCAGACCTGTGTCCAATGTCTGGAATGCCTGGGAGTGGAGGGGACAAAGCACACAGCCAGGATGGTGGATCTGGAGTCAGTCTTTGCTCGACATTCATAAATCACAGAGAGTCATTAGACAAGAAACTGAATCAACCAGCAGGTCAGTGTCATATTGAAGGTCATCTTGGCTGATCATTTAGGCCACTGTCATTTACTTGAGTGCCAATATTTCCAAGCCAAGTGCCTGGACCTATTCCTGTACACACAGCGAAGGGTTCATGGAAGCTGAGGGGGGGAAGTTGGACAATGTTCTTTTAAATGTATTTCTCTTCCGTCAAACTTTTCCCAGGCACATAGAAACAGATTATTTCCCATAGTATCATGTGGAATCCTATCTAATTTCTGGTGAAGTTCTGATGAAAAAAGCGCAGGGCAGGAGCCCAAAGAAACAAACGCTAACCACAAATAATGATAGAAGGTCACCTGTAGATGAATATCGGCAGTAGAAGGTCTTTGGAGTTAAGTTTGGCCGTGGTTATTGCTTTCATCCTCTTATCAAAACAACTTTCCCAAATCACCTCTTCATCCAGAGGCTGCAAGTTTCCTGGAATATATATGGAAGATCATCACACTTTCTAAATGTTTATGGACTGACAATGAAATACTGAACTAGGGTCATAGAGGGTCATACTTATCAATCTATATTAAGAGTAACCTATGTTACCCAAAGCCACAAATCCTATTCAGATGTTTTTGCTCTGACTCTCCTGTTTCAGTGTAGGTTTGTATCTGATTTGTGGCTCCTGATTCTGTCAATTACAGCCAGTGAGGAGAGAGCGGGGGCAGGGCTGAGCTGCTCTTGGTGTGTACTATAGAGCGAGAAAATGTCACCATCACACCATGGATCTCCAGAATGGGTCCAAAGATTTGTTCAGCGATCACATCGTTACAGCAAATAGCAATATGTTGGAGCCTCGCAGGGCCCTTTAATCAGGCTTATGATCTGGGTTCTGCGAGGCTCCAAAATGTTGCTATTTGTTGCAACGATGTGATCACTGAATAAAGCTTCGAACCAGGGGTGGACTGTCAACTCATGGGGCACCCGGCAATAGGGGATCATGGGGCACCTGTGTCCTTGCCCACACTCAAAAAAGCCTATAAAAAAGGTACCAGGGGCATTTCATGGGGCCCCCTACTGACCCCAGGCCCTTGGGCAGTGCCCGAGTGCTTAAATGGTCAGTCTGCCCCTGCTTTGAACCCATTCTGGAGATCCATGGTGTGCTGGGGATATTTTCTCGCTCTGACTATTCATGGTTCCAGTCGGTGGTTGCTTCAGCACCCACTTATATACACCCCTTATTTCTACAGGAACGTGTGCGTTGTGAATCTGTGTGTCCAACAGAGACACACAGAGCAGGGCTCAGGAGAAAGCAGGCATGAGTGCCCCCATAGCAAAAGACTTGCTATGGGGGCACTGGGCAGGGGGGAGGAGCCTGGAGCATCAGCTTGGGACCTGGGAAGAGGAGGACTGGGGCTGCTCTGTGCAAAACCATTACACAGGGCAAGTAAGTATAACATGTTTGTTATGATTGTAAGCTCAAAAGAGCAGGGCCCTCAATCCCCTCATGTTTTGCATTGTATTGGTATTGTTCTGTCACATGTTCTGTCCCCCTCTGTAATGTACAGCGCTGAGCGAACTATTGGCGCTTTATAAATGCTGTATAATAATAATAATAATAATAATAATAATAATTAAAAAAGGAAAAGAGAGCCTTTATTATCACTTTAATTCTTCACAGCGGGCTTCTAAAAGTGAAAACAAATTTAAGGTGTGTGGGGAATAATCAGCCTGATCTTTATCCTATCCCTACCCCTCATTCTGACACCAACCCAAACTAACCCAACTCAGCCATATCATCACCATACCCCCCAACCCAAACACTTGGTCTTAACCTATAACCTATACCATAACCCCTAAAATTTGCCCTTACGTTACACCAACCCGTATCTTTAAACTACCCTGACCCTAGACCCTCACACTTGTCCTTCATTCTTTATCTCAGCCATTCAATCAGCCCCTAAATTTGACCCCAACTCTATCCAAACTCAGCCGTCTCAATCCCCTCCTCTAAGACTAGCTCAGAACTCTTAGTGGAACCCTTTAAATTAGCCCTCGCCTTATACCATAAATCTTAGCCTAACTCTTGGGTTTTGGTTCATCGGATTTCAGCACCAGAAGCTCTTAGCAGGTTTTCAGCATGGGGGGAAATAATGTGCATGGAATAATGAACCTAACCTGTAACCCATCCCTAACATTTTGCATATTCCTAACATAGCTCACCATAATCCTAACCTAACATGTTTGGCCCTAATCCTGAACCGTAATCCTGCCCCAGCACTGAATGGTTAGTACTTTTGTCTTGCATTTCTGAATCCTGTGCTCAGATCCTTCTTGAGATTTGCTGATTGCTAAATAGTTGTATATAAAATGCACTTTTTATCTTTCAAAAAGTGTTTCCCAGAGCTATACCTTTGCTCCAATTTCTAAATTCTTGTATTTGTAAACTTCAAAAAGCCAGTATAAAGGAATAAAATGGTAAAAAAAAGCACTTGTGGGTTCAACTAATCTTTTTTTGTATAATTCTCCTTTTAAGGGGGCCTGACAGGGGGTGTACCCTATGCCCACATACATTTGCTAGTAGGTGTCCCTCATTCCCATCTCAAAAAGTTGAGAGGTATGCATTCACTAAGATGTCCATCTAAGAGTCATTTGAAACTATTTATACTTCCCACAGACACCTCTGCTTGTGAAAGGGAGTTCCACATTCTTACTGCTCTAAAAGTAAAGAATCCCCTGTGCAGTTTAAAGCGGAGTTCCACTCACCCTGTGAAAAAATTAAAGTCAGCAGCTACAAAAACTGTAGCTGCTGACTTTAAAAAAACAGCCACTTACCTGTCCCTCGGTCCCACGGTGTGTCCCCCGCAGCCCATGTCATGTCACCAGCCGTCCTGTATTCCAGGAGGCCGGTATCTTCAGTGTGGGCACAGGCGGGTACACACTGCACACGTGCGCGTAGCGCTGCACTTCCTGAATAGTCCTGTAGTCTTCTGGGACCTGTCATGTGTCCCAAAAGACTACAGGGAGGGAGGGAGGACACCTTCCGCTTCCGATCGCTTAGGCGATTGGACCAGAAGTGGGAGCGGGTACCTGTCAAATTCAGGTACCCGATCCCTCCCTGCCCCCCAAAGGTGCCAATCCTTAATAGGGAGCGGGGGGGGCAGTCCTTAAAGCGGAACCTCCCCTTTTGGGTGGAGCTCCGCTTTAAGGTTAAACTGCTTCTCCAATTTCATGGAGTGGCCACATGTCTTCTTAAGGTCCCTAAAGCTGAATAGTTTTCTGTTGGGATCACCATTGAGGTATCTGTATACCGCTATCATATCTCCTCTCCATATATCATATCCCCAAGCCTGCTTTTCTTGGGTCCCCCACTGGAGCTTCTGGCTCCTCCTCTTCAGCGAGTTCCCCTAATAGGAAGCCGCTTCCTATGCGGGCACTGGTGTGGGCTCACTCCTGAGCCCTGCTGTTTATGTCCATAAACAGACAGTGGAGTACATCCCTGTCCCCACTCCTTTATCATAGGATTTGATTGATGGCAGTGAAAGCCAATGAGTCCTGATACTATCAATCTGCACTGTGGGGAAGGAGAAAGAGGTGAGAGCCGTTGCTCTTGTGCACATGGCTGGATTGAGATCAGCTGAGGAGGAAATGTTATTGTACAGAAGGTTTTTTATTTTAATACAAAGAATGCATTAATGTGTTACTAAACCCAGGGCCCTGCATTCCCTATATCCGCTCTCCCCAGACCCCGCATCCACTATATCCGCTCTCCCTGGACCCCGCATTCACTATATACGCTCTCCCCGGACCCTGCATTCACTATATCCGCTCTCCTCGGACCCCGCATTCACTATATCCACTCTCCCCAGACCCCGCATTCACTATATCCGCTCTCTCCAGACCCCGCATCCACTATATCCGCTCTCCCCAGACCCCGCATTCACTATATCCACTCTCCCCAGACCCCGCATTCACTATATCCGCTCTCCCCAGACCCCGCATCCACTATATCCGCTCTCCCTGGACCCCGCATTCACTATATCCGCTCTCCCTGGACCCCGCATTCACTATATCCGCTCTCCCCAGACCCCGCATTCTCTATATCCGCTCTCCCCAGACCCCGCATTCACTATATCCGCTCTCCCAGGACCCCGCATTCACTATATCCGCTCTCCCCCGGACCCCGCATTCACTATATCCGCTCTCCCCGGACCCGCATTCACTATATCCGCTCTCCCCAGACCCCGCATTCACTTTATCCACTCTCCCCCCGGACCCCGCATTCACTATATCCGCTCTCCCCGAACCCCGCATTCACTATATCCGCTCTCCCCGGACCCCGCATTCACTATATCCGCTCTCCCCGGACCCCGCATTCTCTATATCCGCTCTCCCCGGACCCCGCATTCTCTATATCCGCTCTCCCCAGACCCCACATTCACTATATCCGCTCTCCCCGGACCCCGCATTCACTATATCCGCTCTCCCCGGACCCCGCATTCACTATATCCGCTCTCCCCGGACCCCGCATTCACTACATCCGCTCTCCCCAGACCCCGCATTCACTATATCCGCTCTCCCCGGACCCCACATTCACTATATCCGCTCTCCCCGGACCCCGCATTCACTATATCCGCTCTCTCCCGGACCCCGCATTCACTATATCCGCTCTCTCTGGACCCCGCATTCACTATATCCGCTCTCCCCGGACCCTGCATTCACTATATCCGGTCTCCCCGACCCTGCATTCACTATATCCGCTCTCCCCGGACCCCGCATTCACTATATCCGCTCTCCCCGGACCCCACATTCACTATATCCGCTCTCCCCGGACCCTGCATTCACTATATCCGCTCTCTCTGGACCCTGCATTCACTATATCCGGTCTCCCCCGGACCCTGCATTCACTATATCCGCTCTCCCCGGACCCCGCATTCACTATATCCGCTCTCCCCGGACCCCACATTCACTATATCCGCTCTCCCTGGACCCCGCATCCACTATATCCGCTCTCCCCGGACCCCACATTCACTGTATCCGCTCTCCCCGGACCCCGCATCCACTATATCTGGTCTCCCACAGTACACAGAACATGGAAGTGCAATTATTTTAGTAAATATAAACTGCTAAATACCTTTTCTCATCAGCAGTATATAGAAGTCTTGTGACTTCTATCAGTGTCCAGCCCAGCACTAGCTAAAGCTTGTAGAAGGAGTTTTCTTTCTGCTCTAGGAGGACTGAAATCCCCTGACCTCTGTCTGGACAGTGCTGATTGGTCCTGTGCTGATCACATGCACTCTCCCCCAAAAAAAATAAAAAACCTCTCTAGCAATATACACCAAACTGAGCATGTGCATGCCTACAGTTCAGTTTGGAGATAAGTGGTGGTCACTTGAAAAAGGGGAGGAACAGAGAGGAAAGGATTAAACAGCATTTTTACACATTTTATGCCCTTAGGTTCCACAGTGAGTATAACCAGCATGCTTTGCTGCATCTACAGACTGATTGTACTGTTGGGGGTTTAGTAACACTTTAAGGTATAAACCCTGAGCCTATGGAACCACTTTAAACTTCCTTAGTTGTAGACAAATTAGATTTTGAGCTGATTTGAGTGACAGGGCTTGATGTGAACAATTCTATGCCCTTTGTAAAGTTACACGGATAATGCAGAAAAACACTTTTATATGCAAAAAACAATATTATTCTAAAATGCTGGGACAGCAGTGGGATGTTTAGAGTGTAAGCTCCTCGGGGAGGATCTCATGTAATGCATTGATGGTCCTCTACTGAATGCTGGCACTAGAATTTGCAGAAATATTAGACATATGAAATAAAGAACACTGACCAAGCTGAGTGTAAATTTCCTCCTTCTCATAGCTGTCTGCTTTTCCAAACCCTCGATTGTCCACCAGGGTGATGACTTCAGTCAGACGGTACGATGTTCTTATCAGGGTTTTCCCTCCGTAGCTTTCAGCTGCCGATGCCTCAGAAGCTGTGGCCTCAAACCTGCCGCCATGCACGGCGTATCTCACAGAATTGATGAAGGATGATTTTCCATGACCAGCTTGACCACAGACCTGGAGCAAGATCCGATTGTAGCCCAAATTTTCTATCTCAGAGCTTCCAAGGTTGTAACTGAGGACCCTCTCTGTCAGGTTCTGTAATTTCTCCATCTCTGCTGACCTGGAGCAGTTTTTGTGACATATTAGGACAGAAAAAAGAGAAAGTGAATTAAAGGGAACCATCACAAAGCAAAGATCCCAATCAAATAATCTCATATAACGCTTGCCATTCTCCAGATCCCAGGTCCAGGTGAAACCGAATCAATTCAGTGTAGATGAAGTCCCTGGATCAGATTTGGGATACGCCAGAGATAGATAATGACTGCTTCCCCAATAGCTTCTAAAACTTTTGAGACATGTATCTTGTTTTGTGACAGATTGCCTTTAAATAAGTACGTTACTCGGGAGACACTTGCAGTAAAAACGCCAGTTTTGTTTAAAAAAAGGGTATAAATTTTGTCCCAGTAGGCATTATGTGCACCGTCAAGAGAACCAGCCAGGGCCACACTTAGTCCTCATGCACACTGGCAGTTTTTACAGCGGCTGTTTTTGGCTTTTGGCATTTTTTTTTTTTCTACAGCCAGTAAATTCCCAAGCATGTTATCATGTGTCCATGTAATCAGCATTTTTTGGCAGGGGAGTTTTTCGGCTGGAGAAAACCCCCCAGAACTAGTGGGTTTCTAAAGGAGTTTTTCAACATGCTCTAATGCTGAAAAATGCAGTAAAAGGCGGTAAAATGCGACAAACCAGCGTTTTTGGACTTTTTTTGAACAAAACTTTTTTTTTTTTTTTTTTTTTAAATCTCTAAAAATGCAAACGTGGAAAAACGTGGCTAAACGCTAATGCAAAAATGCTATAACAACATTGAAAAACATGCATTTTTTTAACGTGACTTTACATAGCTAATGCTACCAGCGTTATTAAAACGCCCCGTGTGAATGGAGCCTTATGCTAAAATCTGAACACTATTATATTTTAGAATCTTATATCATTACATCTGTTCAAGCCAACTTACTAGAGGCTGTCTGACTCTTCAACTGGACAGTATAGGTTGGGGTCAGAGGTCATTTTAAAGCCCTTTTTTCTGCCTGACCTCCAACACAACTCTTGTCTTCCGAGAGTGCACAGGAGCAACAACACTGGCACTGATCATACTACATACTGTAGAGGTCCTACTAGAAAGACCCATCTCCTTAGTACTCAGTTTTAGCACGTGCACAGGATGGGGCTTTCTAAATATGTACAAAATTCTTTCAATGTGTGTAGCTTATCTAAACAGAAATGTTTTTTTTCCTGTAATATTTTGAGGTTTTGAGGAACTTCTAAAGAAAAGGTTGACCCCAAACAAGTCTGCAATGTCGGACATTGACCACACCAGTTTTTCCAACATGATACATTGTACTCATTGCCCATCCAAGACCCAACATACAGATGCCAGTCCCAACACACGGAATATTTTTTCTAGCAGAAGTGCCTGAGCTTTGGAGGTTGTTCCTCAGACTTACGTGCACCCCTTTTTCAAGACCCAGGTGACATTTGGCCTTTGGTATATGATGACAAAGAAAATTGGCTTTCAAAAGCATTCAACAGACTGAGGATCATTTATAAAGTAACTATCTGGGAAACTGCTTACACTTTTCACTCCCAAGTGAGCTGTAACCCTACAGCCCTGTAGTAGACTAGAAATACATTCAACGTTTCAAAAATATGTATGAAATATTTAACATTGTATATATTTTTGCTTCTGGTTTCCTTCATCTACCTCTGTATTAGAATCTATTATTCAGCTTCTTCAAAAGCAGAAGGTGCTCTCATGTTGTCATTCCCATCCCAAATCCAAAACCAAATATATTCTTTGAGGCAAGGGAGCCAAACCAAGAAAATGATTCGTAAAGCTTACTTACCGCTTGTGTATCGATTGAAGTCCTCAGTATAAACAAGTTGGAGATTCTGCTTTTTGCTAATAATTTTTACAACAAAAGTGAAACAATGTTACCTGTAGTCATAGTTTCCTGCTGTTCATAGTCTGATGTGTGCCTTTTTTGTTTGACACGTTAACTGCAAGAATTAAAATGGCAGTAAGCTGGAGAGATAGCCAGGATGGTATTGTCTCTTACTCCTCCTCTAGGACTTGGAGGGTGGGTGACGGTTCCCCCCAATTCTAGAAAGTAGTAGCTTGTGAAGTGAAGAGGGGGAGCATAAGCAGATTAGTGTCTGACGCTTAGCATGTTCTTTCAGTGCAGTATGAGGTACAGCTGGGGAGGTGTGAAGGGGATGCTAAAGATAAATAGAGGCCAGAGGTGTGAGTATGAAGGAGTCTCCCAGCTTGACTCAATCTTTAAGAGTTTTGTGAACATTCCAGTCTACGATTCTGGAAAGGTGGCAGGTGTGGTAATAGTTCTGGAGATCAGGTAAATCTGTTCCCCCTTTGTGCCTGGGAAATGCCAGCCTCGCGTAGCTGATTCTTGGTCTGTGGTTGTTCCAAAGGAAACTGGAACATAGGTTCTTGTAGGAGCACAGGAAAGCAAGAGGTAGGTGAATGGGTACAGTTTGGGGGAGGTAGAGAAGGCACGGGAGAGCATTCATTTTAAGAATGGATGCTCTCCCGAACCTTGAGAAGATAGGTTTGTTCCAGCATTTGAGATCGATTGTTAAGTCCCACAGAATAGGCAGGTAATTTTTGGAATACAAATCTCAAAGCCACGTAGGAAGTTGGATGACAAGATAAGTGATGGCGTCTTGTTTCCAGAGAAAAGGAAAGTTGTTTTGGCAGTGGGAAACAGCCTGCGGTGAAAGGGATACATTAATTGTATAAGATTTTGAGAAGTTTATTTTGAGCTTAGATAAGGAGCGAAAGTGTTAGAATTCTGCTAAGAGGGCAGGGAGAGTTGTGTGTGGTTACGTGAATAATAGCAAAAGGTCATCCACAAACGCTGCAAGTTTGTACTCTCAGCCTGCAGAGATAATTCCTCTGATGGTGAGGTTGTGTCTAAGACAATGTATTAAAGGTTCCAGTGTTAGTACAAAAAGGATGGGGAAGAGGGGGCACCCCAATCTGGTACCATTGTGGATAGAGAAGGCGTCTTGACAGGCTGTTGTTAACTCGAACCCTTGTAGACTGTGAAACGTATAAGGACGTAACAAAAGTTAACATACGAGTGCTGAGAGCCATGGTGTCAGGAATGGACTTGCCAGTAATGGTGGGACTCACCTGCCTTGTGGGCTGCAGTACCAGGGCTGGCCAGCGGGTGCTTCCAGCAATCAGAGACTCAACTGAAGTTGATCATGCAGGTGTATTTAAGGGATGGCCAGACCTGCAGTCTCTGCCTTGGTGTGTGTTTTTTCCTGGGCCCTGTATCTTGTTACCTGCATCCCTGTCCCTGTCCGACTGATTTGTTGCTGACCCTGCCTGATCCGGACCTCTGCTGACTTCTCCTGTTTTATCCCTGGCTTGTGACCCCGACCATTCTCTGCCTGACCCCCTGTTCCTACCTGCCCGATTGTTATTGACCCGGCCTGCCTGACGACGCTTGCATTGTATATATTGTTATCTGTGGGTGGTTGGTTCGTTTGCACTGTTATGTTTTAGTATTGCACTGCGTTTATGTATTGTTAGTATTAATAAATTATATTGTTTATAACTAGAGATGAGCGAATTATTCAAAAATTAGATTCGACTGATTCGGCGAATTCGTGGAAAAAATTTGATTCGAGTCGAATATATTTGCTGCAAATTTAACTTATAAAAGGGTGTTTCTAGGCTTCAGAGAGCCTTTATATTAGTGCAGAACACTGTACCTTTAATTTAAATGCCCTTGGAGTCTGCTGGGGAAGAGAAATAATACTGTCACTCAGTATGACATGCAGATGAGTGCCGTCGATCTTAGAATCACCGCACACTTCACTCATTTGGGCAGTCACGGGGCCAAAACCAGAGTGTGGAGCCACAGTGTGGCGGTTGAGGCAGCAGCAATGGGAGGCCATACAGCACCCTATGACAAAATGGAACCCACCAGCAGTGTGAGGAGACCTGAAAGTGGCACATGGCAGAGTGTGGCGATGGAGACAGCAGCAATGGGAGGCGGTACAGGGACCCATGACACACTGTGGACCTGGCAGCAGCATGAGGAGGCGGTACAGGGGCCCATGGAAGATTAGGGGCCTGGCAGCAGCAATGCGAGGCCCGTAATCTGCCAGCACCCTATGACAAAATGGAACCCAGCAGCAGTGTGAGGAGACCTGAAAGTGGCACATGGCAGAGTGTGGCGATGGAGACAGCAGCAATGGGAGGCGGTACAGGGACCCATGACACACTGTGGACCTGGCAGCAGCATGAGGAGGCGGTACAGGGGCCCATGGCAGATTAGGGGCCTGGCAGCAGCAATGGGAGGCCCGTAATCTGCCAGCACCCTATGACAAAATGGAACCCAGCAGCAGTGTGAGGAGACCTGAAAGTGGCACATGTTTGGGGCATGATTCATGGCGGATTTAGTCAGTTGTGTCAGGAACTGGTGGTTTGAAATCCAAACTAATCCACGCCTGATTCATTTTCACAAACGTGAGTCTCTCCACACTTTGGGTGGACAGTCGTGTCCTCCGCGGAGTTACAATACCTCCTGCTGCACTAAACACGCGCTCCGATGCCACGCTACTGGCCGGGCATGACAGCCTTTCAAGGGCAAATTCAGCTAGTTGGGGCCAAAGGTCAAGTTTCGTTGCCCAGTAGTCAAGGGGATTGTCTACCTCGGTTGGCAGGGTGCTGTCCAAGTAGGCCCAAGCCTGTTGTTTGAGCTCCTGCTCCAGGTCCACCTGATGCTGCTGCTGCTGCTGCGGCTGGTTAGTAGTTTCCTCACTGCGCTGGTGAAGAAAGCTACTCATCATCGACTGCAGACTGAGGCAGCCGCTGCTGGTGGAGCTGCCACTGCTCCTACCACCCCACCCCTCCCCTGCTGCCATGGCAGCGGAACGCGAGCGCACAGGGCCCACAGTGTCTGAGGATGGACGTTGGCACAGAAAGGCAGAGACCAACTGACTACATAGGTGGTTTTTATAGTACGTTATTTTGGCCTCCCTCTCAGCAGGTGTGAAAAAGGCCACCATTTTTGAACGGT